GTATGGGCTACGGGCCATAGGTTTGTGCACACAATACGCAACAAAACCTGGCGATCAGTGGGAAGAGAACCCGTGGCCATCGCCGTAGGCCCCCCGACAGACGGGGTATTCAAAATCGTCGATCGAACAAGGGAGTCGGCCGGAACAGCAGAGGGTAAAATATAGGGGTACGTAGGATGGGTAATCTCTGGTATACCTAAGGCCTGAGCTACAGCAGAAGGTGGAACCCTAAAAGAATGACCCAGCAAAAATAACCTAAAGGACGACCCGTCAATATCGTGGATATTCGCATAGAATTCCTGAACTAGGAGAGGGGATGGAGGTGATAGACCAACAAGCAAAGGCTTCCAACCCCAAGACACTAAGATGGCAGCTATATCTACGGGAAGGTCAAACAAAATTACCTCACGCTCCACGAGAACGGGGCGTAAGGAGAACTGGGAAGTGAAGACCTCCTGGGCTATAGCAGAAATGAACCTCGATCGACTGTAAGAGGTCGAACCACTAGCCGGCTGGGAAGAGGGACGTGATCGCTTACGGGCCATCTGGCACACATAAAGAGGTAAGAAATGAGTCACATGAAAAATGCACATGAAACGATGCAACGTGTCATGACACACCGTGCACACAAATGAGGCACAAAAGTGATACATCGAAAAACGCGATCGACCCTAAGAGCAAAGTCATCACGACTCGAAACCCAACGAAGAATATGCATAAAGCCACAACGAAGCAAAAATGGAATGAGAAAAATACCCAAACAACCCTAAGGAAACAAGAAAATAGCTAGGGCATTGCATCGAACACGTGGAGTGCGTCACTTCGGCATGAATTCCCAAGCACACACGAGATGCACCCATTCAACCTTGCACAACTCCACAAACTAGGCAACATCCTCTTCAAAATGAAACAAACCACATGCAAATCGGAGTTACGGAATGCAAGAACGAAGTCGACGAACATGGAAGAAAAAACAAGAAACACACTTAAAATAACCAACAAAGAATCACATAATGCGAGCTAAACTTTGAATAAAAGTGCGAGAAATGGCAATCCATGAATCAAAGAGATGCAAGAGGCACAGAATCCATAAGAATTAAGCAATGATGCTCACAAAACCGAACAAACATGCAAAAAATGCAAAAACACAAAAAAAACGAAGAAAAAACAAGAAAAACTACCTCAAATGATGTTCAAGATGGAATTTTGATGTTGAAATCGGGTGTAAGTGCTTCGAATCGATCAATTATCAAGAATATTTGAAGAAATTGCAACACAAAAGAAGAAATGTATGTAAATGTAGGGAGAAAAATGAAAAAAATAATGCGCGAAATGAAGAATCAGAATTCAAATACCCACACAGTCACTCGAGCGAGACGACAGCAAGACTCGAGCGAAAACAACACTGCTATTTTCGCTTGAGCGAACGGCACGCGAGCCTCTAGCGAAAACTCAAATTTCAAAAATAGCACCACAATTTTGAATTTTTTTTTTAAATGGCAGAACTCTTAGAAAATTACAAAATTAACCCCGAATTTCAAAATTTTGAAATGTGGAACGAAACGAAGTATGTAACCGAATATGCAATCGAGCCCAACAATAAGCATAAAGTCACAAACCTAATAATCAGCATATATACAAAACGTAAGTCCACACAGAGATCAAATTACCATGGAGTTAAGTGTATACAGACCAACATCGGGAAGAGTGCCACGTAGTCCATGCAAGCGAGACTCAAAATCTTAAATTAGTGAGAAAGGACACGTGAAAACAACCAAACAAAGGTGTATGTCGACCAAGTGACAATCAAATCCAATACCACGAGGACCCAAATCAAATAATACGATTGTCACTTTTACTCCCCCTAACTGAATGATCTCATTTTTTTTTAACAAACAAACTTAAGTGCAATGCTATCCTCATTAGGCGACATAGATGACCCCGTAACGAACGTTGGGTCGGTGACTCCCAAGTCAGACGACCTTAGGGCACCAGGTTAAAAACCCCTCGAGCTTAATAGTTCGAGTCAAATAGGCCCCGAAGATAGTCAAACGTTCGACAAAATACAATAAACGTGGGGAAAGACAATATGATTAGATGACACTCGTCCCAGATTAAGTCAAATGGACACACAATCCTAAGCATAGAAGATCACCATCCCAAGTCTCACCCAAGCGGTCAAGACTCACATACAGGACTACAGTGTGTGCTGTGCAAAGATGAATGACGAGTCATATACCCAAAACTCCACAGACAACGTGAACAATGATGGAACCTCAGACTCGTACATATGATGAATAATAGAGTTAGATTCTAAATGTAAATGCCAGAATCGAGACATAAAAGGCACACACATGAAAAATCCCTTTTTTTGTTCATACATTTAAGCGCACAAACAAAAACAGCAAATGAAGATGAAACAAACAAACAAAAATGCATCACACATACATAGGTCACATGCAAAGTACGAAGTGACTAGGTGCAAATGTGATACAAGCATGAATATGCAAGAACCCATGATCAAATAGGTGAGCTAACACCAACAGCCGTCCGAAGCGACTCAAACCTCAACCCATCTAGTGGTTTCGTAAGTAGATCAGCCAATTGATTATCAGTAGAGACATGGTCAAGAGAGACAACATGTGATTCAATAAGCTCTCGAATGAAATGATGTCGTATGTCAATATATTTTGTTCGAGAGTGCTGAATGGGATTCTTAGAAATATTTATCGCACTCGTATTATCACAGAAAACAGTCATTGTCCCTTGACTAATCCCATAATCACTAAGCATTTGTTTCATCCAAAGAAGCTGAGTACAGCAACTTCCTGCAACTATGTATTCGGCCTCTGCCGTGGATAAAGATATTGAATTTTGTTTCTTACTTAGCCAGGCTACGAGATTGCTACCCATGTAAAAACAATCCCCAATCGTACTTTTCCTATCATCTGCATTTCCGGCCCAATCGGCGTCGGAGTATCCAGTCAAATCAAGATTGGAATTCCTAGAATAGAATATCCCTAGATCCACTGTACCACTGATATACCTGATTATGCGTCTAACAGAGCTTAGGTGTGACTCTTTTGGATCTGCCTGAAAGCGAGCACACACTCCTACACTAAAGGCAATGTCAGGCCTAGTAGCTGTGAGATAGAGAAGACTACCTATCATGCTACGATATAGGGAAGGATCTACACTCTTACCAGAAGGATCACGACCCAACTTTAAGCTAGTACTCATCGGTGTCCTAGTATGCTTCTTACTATCTAACCAAAATCGCTTAACGAGATCCTTAGCATACTTAGATTGTGAGATAAACAGTCCATCCTCTGTCTGTCGTACCTGAAGTCCAAGGAAATAACTTAACTCCCCAACCATACTCATCTCGAACTCTCTCTGCAGACACTCAGCAAACTCAAACGCTAAAGACTCAAGAGGAGACCCAAAAATGATATCATCGACATAAATCTGAGCAATGGTAAAATTTTCTTTTATATGTCTAATGAATAAGGTCCTATCTGCACCACCTCGAGAGAACCCATGTTCTTCCAGATATAATGTAAGTCTCTCATACCAAGCTCTAGGAGCTTGCTTCAAACCATAGAGTGCTTTGTGAAGTTTGTAGACATAGTGGGGAAATTTTAGATCAACAAATCCCTTAGGTTGTTCCACATATACTTCTTCCTGAAGAAGTCCATTCAAGAAGGCACTCTTAACGTCCATTTGATGCAACTTGAACCCTAAGGTACATGCAACAGCAAGCAGAATCCTAATAGACTCAAGTCGTGCAACGGGGGCAAAAGTCTCATCAAAATCAATCCCCTCAACTTGAGTATACCCCTGAGCAACTAATCTCGCCTTATTCCTAGTTATAGTACCTTGGTCATCTGTCTTGTTCTTAAAGATCCACTTGGTACCAATAACATTACAATTTTCAGGTCTGGGAACTAAGATCCACACATTATTCCTAGCAAATTGATTTAGCTCCTCATGCATCGCATTCACCCAACACTCATCACTAAGGGCCTCTTCAACTTTCTTAGGCTCTACCTGAGAAACATAGCTAGTGTACACTAGATTGTTCAGTACTCTCCTACGAAGTCTCATCCCTTCATCTAGATCCCCAATAGTATTATCCTTAGGATGACTAGACTTAACCCTAGTCGATGGTTCCTTAGGATTTTTATCTAGATTTTGTGGAAGTGTTTCCTTTTCAGATGTTTAAGGTTTCTTACGAGATGATTCAGGCACAGGTAGCTCAGTAGGATCACTTGAACTCAAAAGATCACCATCTTTATCACATTTTTCAGCACTCTCCCCCTCACTCACAGCATCATCTATCACAACATTTATAGACTCCATCACCACACGGGTACGTAAGTTATACACTCTAAATGCTCGGCTATTCCTAGAGTACCCTAGGAAGATCCCTTCATCACTCTTTGATTCAAACTTACTCAAGTTCTCTCTATCCCGCAAAATGTAGCACTTACTCCCAAATACTCGAAAATACTTAACAGTAGGCTTTTTACCCTTAAGAATTTCATATGGGGTCTGATCAGTCTTGGGTCTAAGGTAGACTCTATTGATGATGTGGCATGCAGTGTTAATAACTTCTCCCCAAAAGTGTAGGGCTAATTCCTTGCCATGAAGCATGGATCTAACCATGTCCTGAAGGACACGATTCTTCCTTTCAACTACCCCATTTTGGTGCGGAGTGATAGGGGAAGAGAACTCATGCAATATCCTTTCGTCCAAACAGAAACTTCAAGATTAAAGTTCTCAAACTCTTTTCCATGGTCACTACGCATCCTAGACATTTTGAGATTCAGTTCATTGCTAAGCCGTTTACACAGAGACTTTATGAGGTCACAAGCATCAGATTTTTTCCTAAGCAATTCTATCCAAGTAAACCTCGAGAAGTCATCTACCACGACAAGAATGTATCGCTTACCATCTAAACTCTCAGTCCTAGAAGGTCCCATCAAATCCATGTGTACCTACTCCAGGGGTCTTTTGGTCAGAATTTTAGTAGTCTTCTTATGGCTCCCCTTAAATTGTTTACCTAGTTGACATGGTCCACACACAACATTTTCACTAGGAACTATCTTAGGCAACCCATCTATCAATTCTTTCTTAGCCAACTGCTCTAGACTCTTATAGTTCAAATGACCTAATCTTTTGTGCCAGAGCTCACTCACATCAATTTTAGCACTCCTACACACATAGTTAGAATTAGGTAATACCCCATAACAATTGTCAGATGTTCTAACCCCTTCAAGGACTACCCCACCGGATGAATCATACACGGTACATCTCTTCTGCACAAAACTAACCTCAAAGTCGTCATCACAAATCTGACTAATGCTTAACAAATTTGACTTTAAACCTTCCACATAAAGCACATTAGAGATCACAGGTAAACCATACATTTGTACAGTACCTTTGCCAAGAATAGGTGCAGAGCCCCCATCTCCAAAGGTAACCATACCACCATTACATTCATCAAAAGTAGTAAATAGAGCTTTATTACCACACATATGCCTAGAACATGCACTATCCAGGTACCACATATTAGAATTTTGAGCTTTTAAAGCAACATGAGCAACAAAACAGTTTACTTGACCTGAAAGTCTACCTAGATCACCCTTTCTGACCCAAACCTTTTTAGATGACAAAGTACTCTTAGTTAGCTTAGTAAGCATCTCAATCAAATGACTAACCTGATTAGACAGAAAGCTAACCTGACTAGGAATGTTTTGATTTCTACGCTCATTGCCTAACTTATAACATCTAGGTCTAGTGTGTCCTAGAGCTCTACAATGGTGACAAGTGGGAATGAACCTAGGCTCAAAGGTACGTGTCTGTGGGTACCTAGTCCTGATGTTCCTACGTGATTGATGACTCTGTTCCCTAGGAACACTCATACCCTTACTTGGACTCCTAACAGCATTAGACTTAGAAGCAGACACAAAGACAGTCTTAGATGGTCCAGCAACATGTGTATTACCCTCAACATATCCTAGACCTCTCTTATCTCCCACTGGCTTATTCATTCCCAACAGGTTATCCAATTTATTAGTTCCACTTATGAATGTCTGAAGATGAGCATTAGATTTCTCCAATTCACTAGTCAAACTCTTAACCTTGTCTTCCAATTTCTCATTGACACACTTTAACTCACTACCACTCTTAAGTGAATCCTGAAGCTTACTACCCAGTTTCTCTTTTTCCCTTTCAAGTTCGTCAACCTTTTTAAGTAGGGCTTTATTGACCTTCTTTATTTTAAGACTCTCCTTAAACAACAGTTGATAAGCTTCTTGTAAGTATATGTCATCCTCATCCTCATTCTCATTACCAGAATTATCGTTTGAATGTTCTTCCTCAACCTTGTCACTTTCCTTATCAGATTCACTCTTAACAGTAGCCACAAATGCTATATAATTTCCTTCGTCATCACTACTAGAGGATTCCTGCGTATCACCGGTCTTAGATTCATTATCAGTAAGTGAGACAACTAAGGCCCTATCTTTCCCTTTTCTTTGATTTTTCTTATAGCTAGGACACTCATTCCTATAGTGACCTATTCCTTGACACTCATGACATCTAACCAAACGTGGCTTCTCACTTGACCCTTTATTGTTAACTTTCTCAATTTTATCTTTTGTGAATCTGCTAGGGGCTCCACTCTTTTTATCCTGAGGCTTTCTCCTATTCTTGAGGACTTTTTGAAATTTCTTAACAACGTATGCGATTTTCTCATCCCTAAGTGACTCAGTATCAGAAGATTCATCTTCTTTAATGGATTTTAGGGCTATGGACTTTCCTTTCTTATGTTGTGAGATAGTGAGTTCATAGGTTTGCAAGGATCCTACCAATTCTTCGATCTTAACTTCATCTAGGTCCTTACTTTCCTCAATGGCAGTGACTTTAGGCCTAAATCTCTCAGGCAGAGATCTAAGTACTTTTCTCACAATCTTAGTCTCGGGAATTCTCTCACCTAGGTTGAAACTAGAGTTAACTATATCATTTAGTTTAACGTAAAACTCATCAAAGGTTTCATCATCTTTCATCCTCACTTCTTCAAACCTAGAGGCTAGCATTTACAATTTTGAGTTCTTTACTATCTTAGTTCCCTCATGTGTAGTTTCAAGAATGTCCCAAACCTCTTTAGCAGTTTCGCACATAGACACTCTCCTAAACTCTTCTGGAGATAGAGCCATGAATAATGCATGAATTCCCTTACTATTCCAATTACATGCAGCTAATTCACCTTTAGTCCACAGTGATATGTCAGTAAGGTTAATTGTTCCTGATACGGTAGTAGATGGAGGTTTCCAACCATTTTGAACGCGAATCCAAACATGCTCATCTAAGGACTTAAGGAACGCACGCATTCTAACCTTCCAATATGCATAATTACTTCCGTCGAAAAACGGAGGTACAGACAGTGATTGACTCATCTAGACAACTATGGGTCAGGACTCGAGATTAGGCTCTAATACCACTTGAAAAACCTATCGTTCGACCCAACTAACACCTAGAGGGGGGTGAATAGGTGTTCTTGCGGAATTAAAAACTTTTTGAATAATTCATGCAACAAGTCACACAAATTATAATTTCTCCAGATTAATTCACATGCTTTATCTACCTATGTTGGATTACCATTGACAAGTAAATAAATTAAAGCGGTAAAAACACAATAAACATGTTGACGGAGAAACCCAACTAGATAAAAACTCCGGGCACAAGCCAGTAAAGATTCACTATTGTAGAAACCAACTTACAGCACGCCAGACATCATTGACACTCTCAATTTTCTGACCTCTTTGCTGTATGAACTCAAGACCCTCCTGGATTTTGCAGATCCGTGCTAAATCCCAGCCTTGTATAATTTCTACCTCCCGTGAATCGCCACGCACTCCAGCTCTTCAAGCAAATCCTTCCCGGATCTTCAAACTGATGATCTTCTGGAAGTTTAGTTGGAGTTGTGAGACATGTGTTTTGGGGTTTATGGATTTGATGTTTTTACTCAACAAGCCAAGGATTGGTATGAGAACAATGAAGGATTTCTTTGGCTTTTGATCCTTAGAGAGAATGATTTGGATTTTTGGTTGCCAAGGAATTGAAAGAATATTCGAAGTGTTTTCAATGTGAATTTTCGGGTTGATGAACATGAATGGGACGTTTGGTATATATAGAGGTTGATATATGGTAATGTGGAGATTCAAATATTCGCGAGCGTTTAAAATTAGAATTGGCTAGGTAACACAGTCGCTCGAGCGAGGTACTGGCGAGCCTCGAGCGACGTACCTTTCGCTCGAGTGACGGCTCAGCGTGAGTCCAGCGAAGTTGGTTCTGTAATTGTGGCTCGAGCGAGGTCAGGGCGAGACTCTAGCGAAATCAAAGCGCCGCTTGCATCTTTGAGGCATCCCACACAACCCTAGACCTAGCCTATAAACTTTAGTTAATTGCAACTCTAGTCCCTGAACTATTGGACATTGACAATTTGGTCCTTGACTTTACAATTTTGACAATTTGGTCCTTGGTCACAGATTTGCCAATTACATATTTTCCTAACAGTATGCAAGAGAGAAAACAAGAGGAAAAAAGAGAGAGGCAGTCGGCTTTCTTTGAAGTCAGAGAGCTTGGAGTGTTTTTGTTGTCTTCATTCATCTTTCTCCTTTCCTTTGTGGATTGCATATACCACCACCATAGTCTCCTTTGTGGAGTGAAACTTGTGGCAATCAAGTGTGGAAGTTTTAGGTGGAGCTGAGGTAAACTGGTATTCGATTGGTTTTTTTCTGAACCCGGAATCAAGATTTCTTAAGAGATTTCCGCGACAATTAGGTTTCTATTATATTAGGTTTCCTTGTAACATATGAACTTATTTGTTTCATTGTTTAACCTTATTTTTTTGTTGTCTCAATAATGTCTTCTTCTTTTTCATTTTCTTTGGATGGTTTATCAAATTAGTTTGTTTTATTTTCAGGTTCCAATCGCCTTGATCTTAAGAGAGGTGTTTGGTGCGACTATGGATGGGGTCTCTCCAGTTCTCCTTGAAGAGAATAAAGGGTTGATGTAGATATAAATTTGGATGCCTCAAACGTTATAGTGTTTGAAACCATCCTATGGGGCTCAGAACTGCCCCGAATACGACTACCTCAATGGCCCTGATGGGCTCTCTATTGCCTCAAGAGTGAATGGCATGCAAATCTTTGGGGTCCAAGTGACATCTTGCTTATAAGCGACGATCCGGACATGGCTTCTTTGCCTAGTTGGCAAGCACGTAGGTAAAGGCTTAATAATTATCCCCCAAAACTATTCTTATGAGGTGTTGGATTTTGATTTTTGTCGAACTTTTCAAGGAGGTGAGAATACTAAAGTGAGTAGAATTCCGATGTTTAAAAAGCTGAAGTAGATGTGGATGGGGGAGTTCGCAGTATTGAATTGTTGAACTATCGGAGCAATGTGACAAACGTAGACATGACCTCTTTGCCTAGTTGGCAGCCAAGTGGAATGCCACGTGAGTATATATGTAAAAGTTGTCTCAAACCTTTCTCTACATGGGCTGTGGTACGTGTAATTTGAATCGATATAACAATTTCTAATAGCTACTTCAAGCAAAAGATCACATATTGGAAATTGAAAATGAGTTTTGGTCGCTCCTTTTATGATTCATCGAATATTTAAGGATTTTAAAGTGAAGCACTAAGAAAGGCTAGGAGAATCTACGTGAGGGACAGTCTAGCAATATGGTTTCATGTCAATATCTGAAGCATACAATCAAATGGATTCTTTATCAAAAAAAATAAATAAATAAAAATGAAAAAGCCTTTTAAATTCAGAGCTCAGATGATTTCTTGGACAGGGTTCATTCAATTCAAATTTATTTTAATTATTGGATATTGGAATCTAATGTTCATTTGGTGGCAGACACATCAAAACATTTCAAGACATTGTTTAGTTTAATGGGAATAATTTCCATGTGGTAGGTCTAAAATCTACATCATAAACAAAGAATAGGAAGCATCCATTCACTCATCCTATGTATATAAATAATTATTAATCGAGTTTATCTAGATCAGATTCCTTCCATATTTTTAAACAAATAATCAGAAATCTGTGCTTATGTTATTATTATAATGAAGGCGAGACTATTAAAATGGCTTTAAAAACTCTAATAGAGTCTGCACCTATCCTCAATAATAAAGAATTGGCATCCCTTTTGGCGATGGGGTTTTTCTTTGCCAAGGTACAAGTTTTTCAACTGGTGGTGGGGTATGGGCGATTTTCATCATACATACATATACAAAATTTTAATGTATGATTATATAATTGGTAAAATTTTAAATTTTTTAATTTAATATTGTTCTTGTGTCGTATTACAGACTGAGGAGAAAAACAAGAGCTCTAAATTGTCATTTCAATGGAAGTAACCAAATCCTGGAAAAGTAGTGAGGAGAAGCTGGCTTCAACTCTATTCATGGATGCTGTCATGTTAAGTAAAATGTCTATTTCTGCTTGTTTCTTATGCCAATATAATGCTTATGTTTAATCTAATCAAGCATAAGTACATAGATAGAATTGATATTGACACACCTCTAGTGCGTCACGTGGGACCATGTTAAGACTCTGGAGATTCAAATAGATATTTTAGCAAATTAATGTACAGACAAGCTTGTATATGAAACTAATCTGAACATCTGAAATTCTCCATAGTATAACCTTGATGATCAAGAAAAATTGATGGAATAAAGCATGGTACAAAAATTTTGCAGTCCCTATGTGAAACTTCTTCCTCCAGTTTTGTCGAGAAGAGACTGTAAATTATTCATTTCTCAAGTGTTTTGTGCTTTTAGAATCGAGCTGGAAATCCATTATAGTAAAAACAAGAAATAAATTGAAAAATAAAATCCGAACACTTAGAATTCACAGAATCAGTCTATAAAAATTATCATACTGACTCTGGATGAATTATTTGCCATTTTTCAAGTCATATTCAGGCTTAAGGCCTGCATATGCCAAGGGGGAGAATTTAATATATCTTGTCTCAATTTCTCTTCAACTTCAGAACTATTTTTCCTTCTACAAAGGAAACTAGGATTTAATAATTCTTCTTTTATTGTAAACTTTATATGGTTGGAACCAGTTGAAGAAGAAGAAAAGCATCGCCCCGAATCTGATGCTAATGGAGTTTCAGCATCTTTCCTCTTCCGGTAATAGCTTGTCGGGCCCAAAGTCAGCTCAAGTTCACTCTCATTTTGTTCTTCGAACTTTTCAGCAGGCCTTTCCAAGTCAATACATTGCCGTGCATTCTTGTGTACATCAGCGTGATCATTCATTTGCTTGGAAGTAGACGCAAAATCGTGAATATTTTGCCTGTTTTTCGCTATATCCTTCATTAGTATCTTCTGCATATGATACAGACGATGGAGTTCGCAAACCTGTATAAAAAATAAAAATAAAAATAAAAATGGGGTTTCGAGCATAGGAAGATGAGTTTACTAGTGTTTACTAGAGGTTAGTTCTTCAACAATTTCCGTGAAAAGTTGAAGAAAAATCAATATACCTGCTCCCTAAATGTTTCCTCATGCTTTAACATGGCCATCTTCATGTATTCCTTGTCATATGGATTCAGAAACTTCTCCATTGAAACTTATGCACCAGTTTTGGCTGGTAAAGAAGGCCAATAATCATATGAACACTGCCTTCTTCAAGGATCTCATGCTTCAACCGAGCTGTATATGGATGAATTTTGGAATATATTTTCTTTCTAGTTTCCTCTATCTGTAGACGCAGAAAAAAGACAAATTTTAATGTACATAAATGAAATCAGGACAATGCACGGTTTAAGTATATATCTGATGATTCCAGTATCATTATTTCTCGGACATAATAATAATAGTACCAGAAAACTAACTTTCAATGGACAATAAATACTGGGAAAAGATCAATTATAAACTGCATAATTTTCTGGCAATCTGATCTTTTGAATAACCAAATTTTTCTGATTAGAAAACACAGAAACCTGTGTTCTCAAATCTCATAGTTCAAGAACTATACCTAGGTTTATAAGAAAGAAGTGTATTTTCTAAAATCATGCACAAGTTAATTTTTTTTACAATCGCCCTGATCTCGATAATCCTGTGAATGAGCAACCTCTCCACCGCACCCACCCACACGCACACGCACACCAACAAAAAGAAAAGCAAAAAAAAAAAGAAGAAGAAGAAGAAAACTTTATAGACAAAATGGGTTGCAGGAATGAATGAATCTACTTACCTTAAAAGTAAATCACATGAACTCATGTATAGATCACTGATTTTTACTGTGTTTCTTTCCTTCAAACAAGGTAAAGTAAAGAGCTCTCTTTCTGGAAGCAACTCAAACTTCAACAAGTACTAAAACCTTCCACCTTAAATTCCCTTTATACAGCTGAAGAAGAATTCAAGAATAATCCCTTTCACACAGAAATTAAAGAGCAGTTTGGCTTGCCAAACAAATTCCAGTGCCTTAGCCCATGTGAATATAGGTTTTTGACAGAGATGCCCTCAGACATGTCCAGCAGTGCAGATATATTAAACTCTCAAGGCCGGTCCCCTTTCTTAATCATCAAAATACAGTGGAGCCTGCCAAACTCAATCACATGCACCCTAGTATTATTCTATTTAGATATAACCAGGTACAGTTGTTTTAACTCTTAAAAATAAAAGTTATATATGTAATTTAATTAAATAAATATCTGAGAGGTGGCCCCAACTGGCCGCCGACAATTGGATCATGACCGTACGTTAAGTGGGTACTTCCTGGAAAGAATAGTCCAAGTTCAGGCAATCACATAATGGATTTTGTCTGTATAAAAATTCGGTAATGTATGAGTATTAGTTCAAAGTCTAATAATTAAAACATAAGTAATTTCATTAGCTACTTCATACATAAAATTGGCTATTTTAAATTTGTTCTTGTGATTCAATATTCACAACTTAATCAGGCAATTAATGTATTAAAAAGGAATAATTTTGTATAACAACATTGAAAAAAAAAATTATCAGTATGATTGTTTTAAAAAAAATAAAAATTACTTATATGATTATATTAGTTCATGGAAAATTGATTACAACTTTGATTTTCGAATAAGTATACTTAAAAAGTCTAAATTTTGAATCTAAGTATTTTCATCGGCAACTTTATAATGATATATCTCTATCCATCGAACATGAGTATCCTAAATAATTCGGTTTTATGATTCAATTTTCAAATCAATCATAATTAAAATTTAATAATTAAAAAGAATATTTCCGTTTTACAAAATTTTAAAAGTCGAGATTAATTGAATAGAACTAAGTTGTTTAATTAACTAGAAATAAAGACAACTAGTGTCGCACTCGACACCCTATATAACCATGTGCACTTACATTAATGCACAACATGTATCATCTAACTCTGGTTTAATATGATATTAATTTGGTTTGTATTCGTATATTATAGGTGTACAGACAGAAAAAGGACAAAAACTAGAACTCATGAACGTGGATTTGATAAAAAATAATAATAATAAAAATAAAAATAAAAAAAATTAGAAAAATGAGAAACAAATGGTATAAATATTTGGTACTATTACAAAAAGAAAATTAATGAAATTGGAATCTACATGTCCCATCGTAGTTATCTACAAAGATGGTGTGCACTTGCATTTTGTGGATGTTCTTTTGGATAGAATTGTAGTACCTCATGTCTCATAGTTATCTATGTTTTTCAGAAATTTGGATGTCAATTATTTGTACGAAAGATATATTAAAATATTTAGAAATTATTATTTAAATTATGCTCGTTCTCATTATTTTTAAAATATATTTTTCTCTCTTTTATTTTTAATTGTATATTGTTCAATAAAATAATATCACAAATAAATTAAATTTTTTTTAACCACACGTTCTTTATTAAATTACATTTTGTGTTAAAAAAAAAAAAAGCAAGCTCAAATAGCCTGTGTGTGTGCAAATTCAAACAAAAGACATAAATATAAACCATCAATCATTTCACTTTTTTCAACATTGAAATAATAATAATAATAATAATAATAATAATAATAATAATAAATTTAAAAATGTATGGGTCTACATGCAAAATTGATATAAACATTAGAAAATACAAAAAAATAATAATAATAAATTCAAAAATTTATGGGTCTACATGCAAAATTGTTTTATTTAAAGAACATGATAGAAAATATTTTTCATTGAAAAACAAGTTTCCACCAATCATGACTAAATTGGAGAAATTTAGGTGGAGTTGTGGCTCAAGTGCCCATTCTAAAGCAAGAGACTAGGATTCTCAAGAATGATGATATTGATCTTGTTAAGAGAAATAAAAAGGTTTAAATAGTTTTATAAACACACTGAAGACTTTCTTTAATTCTAGATTGATTCTAATAATTTTTGGGACAAAATAAAATAAAATACAAGAAGTTAGGATTGTTGAAACTTGAAGATATCACTTAACTAGACCACTAGTGATGGCAAAAATTCTCTCCTCGAGTCTGCGTCGTGAAGAGAAGAAATATATAAAATAATAAAAAGGGGCAACAAATGGGGGCAAGCCGCCGCCACCACTGCGCCCCGCCCCATGTAAGGTTGGGCAGGTGAGGTTTGGGTCCTCGACCCAAACCCGTCCCATCTCACTGCCATCACTAAGCACTGGCATAATCAGGAGGAATTAGGCCAGGTGGATCAATGATAAGGTAACAACAGAATAATAGTCTAGAAGGAAATAGTTAGAATTTGGTTATTATATAACTTGGATTCTTTCTCTCAATTGTACATTACGAGATAAGATTAAATAAATGAAACTATTCCATTTTGTCAATCATCTGTATTAGAACTTCACTCTTCAAAAACTGATATGGTATTAGAGCTAGGTGCAGAATGTTTCTAGCATGTCAATCCTGCATCTTAAAACAGAAGAATCCAATTCAAGAGATACAAATCCAAATCACAATCAAAATCAAAAGTAGGTTGGTGGAAACAATGACGGAGTTCTTTCTCATGATCCAACTCATCCTAGCAGTACTTAACATATTGTCAACAATGATGGAAGTGCTGGTTACTCACCTTTTGGATTCTAGCAACTACTAATCTCAGGCTCGTTCAATGAGAAGAGCATTAAGGATAAAAAAAAAAAAAAAAAAGCTTGGATTCATAAATGGAACCCTCTATGAGCCAAAGGATCGGAATGATAGCACTACTATTCCTGGGCTTGTTCCATTAATGGAGCATTGGCTAAGATGTAATGACATTTTTTATAACATAGATGCAAAATGTTGTGACAATAAATATCAATAGCAGCATTATTTATGCTGAGATAGCCTATCTCCTCTAGCTTGATTTTGAGCAACGTTTCTCCCAACAAAATGTTCTACGCATTTTTGAAGTAAAGGACTTCACAATCTTGATGCAAAACCAAGACTCTGTAACTATTTACTTTTCATACTATATAAAAAGGAGAATGTGGAGACACTGTTGAAGTGAATAGTGTTTTAATCTATTTTGTCTCACTGTAGCATTTTTTTTTAAGTGGGTAAGCAAAAACGACGTCGTTTGTTTTTGTTTGATATATATATATATATATACAGTAGAAAAAAAGCAATCTCGATTTACTGTAATACGCAACTTTTCATACCTTCCACCATTAACTTAAAATTTAAAGTAATATTTAGATATATTTAATTTTTTAAATTAAATATCGTTTGAAATTATTAAAAATTGAAGATACTATTAATAAGACATAAAATATTTCTATAATGTAAAATTTTACTTGTAAGCACAAAAATTGAAGAGAAAAGAATTGAAAAGATTGAAAAAAAAAAAAGAATATTTATAATGTAGAGAAAAAGGAAAAAAAAAAAATTACACTCTCCGTGCACCTCCGTGCAAAGAGTGTGCAAGGAGACAAATATATATATATATATATATATATATATATATATATAATTTTTTAATACATTATAAACTTTTTTTATTTAAATTTCTTTTTAATTCTTTTCTCTTCACAATAAAATTTAATTTTTCAATTTTATCCCTACTATATAAAAAGAGGAAATATAAAAAAGGGAATGTGAAGACGCTGTTGAAGTAAATAGTGTTTTAATCCATTTTATCTCACTGTAGTATTTTTATTTTTATTTTTTTTCAAGTGAAGGAGCAAAAACGACGTCGTTTGTCTTAGTATATATTTTATTATACAGTGTACCTCCAAATTTATTGTAACACGCAACTTTTCATACTTCCCACCAAATCTCATCTCTTCACTCCGTACTCAATAAAAAAATATTAGCTCAGTATATTTCTAAAATATAAAGAGTTAGTTATATGTAAAAAAATTAGCTTTAAGTTTTTTAAGTGTAATAAAAAAAAAATATCATTGTAGTTAGTTATTATATGTAAAAATATATTAGCTTAAGAAAAATCTCTCTCTAACTCTCCGTGCACGGAGGCTCGTAGTCTCCGTGTATGTTTTTTTTTTTATAACTTTATAAATAATTATTTTTTTATCAATTTAAATTTCTTTTTAATTCTTTTCTTTTCCAAATAAAACTTAATTTTTCAGTTTTAACGAAAAAGTTACTTGTAAGTTAAAAATTGAAGGAAAATCAATTAAAAAGAATTTTAAATTAAAAAAATTATATATAATGTAAACTAAATAATGCAAATATACAAATAAATAAATAAATTAAGTTTCTGCGTGCACGGAGGCAGTCTCCATGCACGGAGACATTTATCTTCATGCATGGAGACAAAAATTTGTTTCCATTTTTTTTTTTAGACTTTATAGAAAATTGTTTTTTTTATCAATTTAAATTTCTTTTTAATTCTTTTCTCTTCCAAATAAAACTTAATTTTTCAATTTTAAAAAAATAATATTTATATATTCTTTATTTGATTTTTATAACTTTCTTTTATTTTGTTTTTATTGTATTTTTTTAAATTGTTTTAAATTTCTTTATTCTTCATATTATAAATTTTTTTCGATTTAAAATTCCTTTTAATTCTTTTAAATCGACAGTATTTTATTCCATTTTGTCTCATTGTAGCATTTTTTAAATGCGAAAATCATGCCTTATTTCTTCTTCTCTTCTCTCTGTGTACTTCCTATCAAAAATCCGTGAAGAAAAGTCTAAACAACATTCGAATATAAATTACATTTTTCAATTCTTAAATTTCTTGATAAGAATTGACGCAACCAAAGAGAATTAATCGATACAAAATTAACTGATAGTTAAAAGCATGATAACCATCTAGAATTTACAAGATCCAACAAGATTCTCATTTCCAAATAATAATGGAAGAGCAGATTGTGTTATAATTGAGAGCCTGAGAATTAATTTTTTTCAATATGTATGTTTTTTTCTTGTATTATCATTTTGCTACTGATTTTTGTTCATTGGCATGTTTCCAATAAATTTGGCTGTAAAAAACGAACAACCTTAGAATTTCTCTAAAAATCGAAAAATTGGAGCAGTTATTAGCTTAAAGAAAAGATAAAAAAGAAAAAAGAAAAAAAAATTTGAACAAAGTGCATGGAGTGCACACGTGAACCATTAAATTTAACATCACAAGGATCAATTATCAAAAGACAGTACCCATG